TGAAAAAGTTGGCTTAAAGCTCAACATTCAGAAAACTAAGATCATGGCATCTGGTCCTATCCCTTCATGGCAAATAGATGGGAAAGCAATGGAAACAGTGGCAGATTTTATTTTTTTGGGCTCCAAAATCACTGGAGATAGTGACTGTAGCCATGAAATAAAAAGACGCTTGCTCCTTGGAAGAAAGGCTATGACCAACCTAGACGTCATATTAAAAAGCAGAGACATTACTTTGCCAACAAAGATCTGTCTGGTCAAGGCTATGGTTTTTCCAGTAGTCATGTAGGGATGTGAGAGTTTGACTATAAAGAAAGCTGAGCACCAAAGAACTGATGCTTTTAAACTGTGGTGTTGGAGAAGACTCTTGAGAGTCCCTTGGACTGCAAGGAGATCCAACCAATCCATCCTAAAGGAAATCAGTCCTGAATGTTCATTGGAAGGACTGATGTTGAAGCTAAAACTCCAATACTTTGGCCACCTGATGGGAAGAGCTGACTCATCTGAAAAGACCCTGATGCTGGAAAAGATTGAAGGCAGTAGGAGAAGGGGACGATAGTGGATGAGATGGTTGGCTGGCATCACTGACTCAGTGGACATGAGTTTGAGTAAACTCTGGTAGTTGGTGATGGACAGGGAGGCTGGCATGATTCATGCCATGAGGTTGCAAAGAGTTGGACACGACTGAGTGACTGAAGGGAACTGAACATACCTACATAGCACTAAAAGGCTAAGAAGAGGGAAGTGAGAAAGGGGTGATGTGTAATTACATGAATGAAATGCCTACTGTGTATCTTGTACTGGGCCATGTCAAAACACTGTCTAAGCCTAATTGACAAAGACGGAAAAAGGAGATGAGGCAGACATGGGCAATATCATCCATGATTTAAGCAGATTTACTGAAGATTTAGTAAAATATAAACAAATCTTGTTTCTGTTCCAGAAAACAGTTCAAATATTTTATATATTTCTCTTTTTATTACCTTTATAATACCCAGGAAAGGTATTCGCATTGAGACTTTTTAAAATAAAAGCTCTAATTTTTTTTAAAGTGTCATGAACAAGCATCTTTTTTAAAGTATTGCTTAATCCAGATATATGAAAATATCTAATATAAATCTTATAGAAATATTATATAGGTTCCATTGGGGAAGAGGATGCAGTGCTGGTTGAAAATGACAGCATTTTCACTAAAACTGTTAATTTAATATCCTGTCAACATGAGTTTATTTCATGATTGTTCAATGGTTGGTAACATGAATTCTTTTTCTTGTTGCTTAGTTTCTTTTTTTCTATACAATAGTATAGATTTTCTACAATAGTAAAAGATGTTTATCAGTTTTCATAAGCAATAGACAAGAAGTAAAAGATGATTACAATTGCAAGCCATAATAGTTATATGATTCACTTAACAATGTAAAATAATTACATACAATTTGGGGGGTCCAATAGAGTGATGTAGTAGGTGGAAGTGCATACATGCACATGTTTTCATCCACCCAATCAATCTATGTTTTTTGGTTGGTGTGTTTAATCCATTTACATTTAAAGTAATTATTGATATGCAGGATACCATTTTCTTAATTTTGGGGGGTTTATTTTCTGTAGGTCTTTTCCTTTTCTTGTGTTTCCTGACTGGAGAATTTCCTTTGGCATTTGTTTTCAAGCTGGTCTTGTGGTGCTGAGCTCTCTTAACCTTTGCTTGTCCGGAAAGCTTTTGATTTCTCCATCAACTCTGAAGGAGAGTTTTGCTTAGAGTATTCTTGGTTGTAGGTTCTTCCCTTTCATCACTTTAAATGTGTCATGCCATTCCCTCTGGCTTGTAGAGTTCTGTTGAGAAATCAGCCTGATGGGAGTTCCTTTATGTTATTTGTTGTTTTTCCCTTGTTGCTTTCAATATTTTATCTTTGTCTTTAATTTTTGTCAATTTGAACACTATGTGCCTTGATGTGTTTCTCCATGGGTTTATCCTGCCTGGGACTCTCTGTGTTTCCTGGACTTAGTTAACTAGTCCCTTTCCTATGGTAGGGAAGTTTTCAGTTATTTTGTCTTCAGATATTTTCTCAGGACCTTTTTCTCTCTCTTCTCCTTCTGGGACTTCTATAATGCAAATATTGATGCATTTAATATTGTCCCAGAGGTCTCTCAGGCTGTCTTTATTTATTTTCATTCTGTTTTCTATATTCTGTTATGTGGCAGTGATTTCCACCATTCTGTCCTGCAGGTCATTTATCCTTCTGCCTCAGTTATTCTGCTATTGATTCCTTCACATCTTCTCCATTCTTTCCCCAAGATCCTAGATCATCTTCACTATCATAACTCTGAATTATTTTTTCTGAAAGGTTACCTGTCCCCAGTTCATTTAGTTGTTTCTCTGGGGTTTTATCTTGTCCCTTCACCTGGGACAAAACTTTCTGCTTTTTCATCATGACTAGCTTTTTGCAATGTGGTTTTTGTTTTAGCTGCTATGGGACTGCAGTTCTTCTTGCTTCTTCTGTCTGCCCTCTGATGGAAGAGGCTCAGAGGCTTGTGTAAGCTTCCTGATGGGAGGGACTGGCAGTGGGAAAAACTGGGTCTTGCTCTGGTGGGCAGGGCCTTGCTCAGTAAAGCTTTAATCCAATTATCTGCTGATGAGTGGGGTTGCACTCCCTCCCTGGTAGTTGTTTGGCCTGAGAGACCCAGCCCTGTCCATGGGCTCCATGGTAGAGTTAATGGTGACCTCCAAGAGGGCTTTCATCAAAGAGCACCTTCCCAGGCTACTGCTGCCTGTGTCCCAGTCCCTGTGGTGAGCCCTGCTGACCCACACCTTAACAGGAAACCCTTCATTTTGGTTCCGTCTTCTGTGGGGGCACTGTTGCTTTCCTAGAGGTCTTGGTGTGCATAAGATTTTTATTTGTGCCCTCCAAGACTGTAGTCTCTGTTTCCCCCAGTCTTGTGGAAGTCCTATAGTCAAATCCTACTGGCCCGCAAAGTCAAGTTTCCAGGGAATTCCCAGTCCCTTTGTTGGATCCCCAGGCAGGGAAGTCTGATGTAGGGTTCAGAATCTTCACAACAGTGAGAGAACTTCTTTGGTATTATTGTTCTCCAGTTTGCAGGTCACCTACCAGCAGGTATGGAATTTGATTTTATTATGATTGCACCCCTCCTATCATATTTCTCTGTGATTTCTTCTTTGTCTTTAGATGTGGAGTATCTTTTTTGTGGTGGGTTCCAGTGTCCTCCTATTGATGGTCGTTCAACAGCTAGTTGTGATTTTGTTGCTCTCACAGAAGGAGATGCTCTCATTTTTTTTTTTGTCAGAGAGTGTGTGGGCTGTGGGGAATCTGTGGGGATATCGCCACTCTGCTTTTTGAGCACTTTTTTTTTTTTGTGTTTTGTGCCAGCGCACAGGGGTCTCTTCTTTTTTCTTTTGTTTTTCCCTGTGCTTTTTTTTTTTCGTGTTCTCTTTTCTCTGTGAAGGTGTTTTTTGGGCGGAGAAAAATTGAGGTTTTTGGCTTCAAAGGCACCGTTTTTTAGTTCCCCCTTTTTTCAGTTTTTGCCAAATTCTTGGCCCCAGGCAGCCCTTTCACAGACTGATCCCCATTTATAGACTCAGCCCAGATTTCTGGGATGAATTCTAAATATAGACAGGAAAATTTTTAAGAATTTTAGACCAATAATCTGAGACTCCCTCTCTCCTGGATTTAACAGTGTCCCAGCCATGTGCTGAGTGCATGTCTGGAACTCCAGCAGCTGGTTTTCAGATGTTGTAATATGCTTGCCAGGCTTGATTGAACTCATTCATAATAGGCTTCAAGCCTACTATGTGTTAGATTCAAATAAGAATTCTAATTCCTGTATTCAAGGGACTGAAATCTAAAATCAAAAAGAAAAACAGCTATATAAACACATAATAATATAACATATATAAAGTTCTATGTAACTATAAGCACCAGGCTGGAAGTATATATAAAGAACATAAAAGCAGGCTTAACAGAATGTCTGGAAGAGCAGAGAAAGGCTTCACAGAGGAGGTGACATGGAAGGAAAGTGAAAAGCACTGTGAACAGCTGGAATAAGCACAAGTATGAAGACATAAAGTTATTAGAAGATGGTACACTTAAGGAGTACATGGCATATCAAAGCCAGATTAAGGAGTGGCTGAGCTGGCAGCTACTAGGGGCCAAGGGAAATTTGAATGGTCCTGGAGCTATAATAAAATGGAGACACTGTCCCTTCCAATCTCTCACTTAGAAAGGTACTAGGAGTTGATAAGTAAGAGTGGAATTGCCAGGAAAGACACAAGAGGCAGTAGGGGCTGCCAAAAGCAGTCCTCGCCATTCCTCCATAATGGGCTCACTTCCTCTCCATGGAACTAAAAACAGTGTTCAAACAGTATAAGCTTAAGACTCAATGTTTAGTGGGTGTGTGTGTGTGTCCATTTGACCCTATGGGCCATAATAAAGCACTGAGAAACAACGCTGACACAGGAGTGAGAATTCTAGATCCTGACCTCAAGTACTTCAAATATACTAACTCACTCAATCCTCATAACCACTCTATGCAATAGATACTATAATCATCTCCATACTTCAGATGAAGACAAGGAAGCACACAGTGGTTAAATAACTTTGCAAAACTCATACAGCAAGGACAGAACCAACATTTGAACCAAGGTGGCTGCCTCCAGAATCTTCACACTAAACCGTCACAGTGGTCTCACATTTTGAGTTTTTACTTTGTTCTTTGGAGCAATGGAGACCTGACAAATTTAGAGTTTTTAAGCAATTCATTTTAAGCATTTTTTTTTTTTTTTCTGTATGAAGATCACTCTGGAGGAATTTGAGAAGATTGAAAGGAGTTGGGAAAGGCTGAACCCAAAACAAGGATGGGGCTACTTTCCTCATCAGAACAGAAGACCATAGGGCCTGAGTTTTCAGAGAAGAGAGAGGCTGAGAGTGTCACCAAGATCTGGTAACATTGTGTGGGGAGTGGTGACAGACAGATAATTCAAGGTTTTGATGATCAAGTAAATGAGAGGATAGTGTTTTCTTAGGAAAAGATTTATTTCTGACCATGCTAAGTTTGAGGCCCTAGATGTCACCAGATAAAGGGACTGAGTGAGTAAATAAAGAGATCTGGGAAAATCTGTGTAATCAACAACACACGAAAGGTACAGAAGAGGATGAAAACCTAGGGAAAGAAATAACAATAGCAGATGGGACCCTAAAGGCCGGTGTTTAAGCCAAGGCAGAAGAAGCAGGGAAAGAAACTCAGAAGTGATTTAAAAGGTACTAGAAGAGGTAGAAGACAGTAGAGTTGTGCAAAGCAGGAGAAAGTTCTGGAAAAGAAGAAAAAGTCAACAGTGTAAAATGCTGTAGAAGAAGTGAATCAAATGTGCTGATAAAGGGCCCTTAAATAGGCCAAAATTACTTTCTAGACAACTGGGTTCCTCCCTCCTGCCCCTACCGTTACTTTCAATGCCATAAATTCATGACCAATTCTAGTGGCAGGACTAGTTTCCAGGCCCCAGGCTCCCAGCCTGGACTTTCACAGCCACAGGGAAGTATCCCATACAAGCATTCATGACACTTCTGCATCCTTCATTGTTATGAAGATAATAGATGTATTTCCTTAGGCTGGAGGACAGAACCCAAGAAAACCATACATGTTTTCAACCTTTGTGTTTTGATCCACAATTTTCTTCAGATTTTTCAACAGATGATTATTTGGACCACCTTCTTTCTCATTAACATAAACTATTCTGTCTAGGTCGGGAAAGTTCCGGTTCAGATCTATTCCCTGGGCATTGCTTCGACCCACGAACCAGTCCTTCAGCTCACCAAGCTAGAAAAAAAAAAAAATCAGAGGAAAAGCATCAATTATTTTTTTGTTAATGTTATCATCTATTTAAAGTCTTCATTAATGGCTTTTAAAATACTTTATAAGACTATTCATTTCAACAATATCCTCCTACAGTGGCATTTCACTATCTAACTGATACACACATGAAAGTATCAGGTTTAAAGCATTTGTTATGGATATTTTGAAAACATTCTCAATGAACAATATTTTAAATGTTAATTATATGTACAAGATATTTGGCAATATGATATCATCTCATTTAGAAACAGCAATGGCCTCACTCTTCAATACATGGGAATAGATAACTGTCAACCTTCTGGCTTTCTAGAAAGAAAGTTACCTAGTGACAAACATGAATGAATAAATATGATTCATTTAATAACAATAACCACACAATTAAATATTGACTTATAAAATTTCTCTTTGAAATTTCTGTGGAAGAAACCTTCACCCACCATTCCTTACCTTCTAAACTTTTTTCTTACCCAGAAATTGAACACCATATCACTTATACCCAGCCCTTCACTCTCTGTAAGCTTCATGTGAGCATATATTCCTTGTCTATAATTATATACATACAAACCTTAAAAAAAAAAAAAATTCTTGCTCTGCTGTGATCTGACGAGACCCACCTGAGATGCTGCCTTTTCAAAGCCATCCGGGTTCAGGGAGGGCATGATGTGGATTCGGGTGTTGTGGATCAGCTGGACAATTGTCTCATTCCCTTTTTGGTACTCATTGCACAGGTACTGGGCCAGAAAAATGAGCAGCTCCCGTCCAACAGCTTCATTGCCATGCATATTCCCAATGTATTTAAATTCAGGCTCACCTAAAAGCCCAAAAATAAATAGTATATAGACTTTTTCTATCATACCAAAGAGAAGGCAAATAATATACAGTGTAAAAAAATGTTATACAGTTACTAAGTTATTACACAAAGATTATAATTTCTTTGCCCTCCACAATTGATGTCTAAGAAATCTAATCTAAACATAAAATACTTAACATTTCCCTTCCATCTTTTGAGTTCTCTCTTCCCATTTTCCCACTTACTGTACACTGAATTTTGACCTCCAAAATCATAAATCTAAATCCTAAGTTTGAATGTAACTGTATCTGGAGATATGACCCTTAAGGAGGTAATTAAGGTTAAATGAGGTCATAACCCAGAAGGACTACTGCCCTTATAAGAAAATGAAGAGATAGATAGCAGAAGCAAGAAGAGCTACAATCCTAGAGACTTCAAAATTAAAACAACAATCACGGAAAGTTAGACAAAATGAAAATGCAGAGGATTATGTCCTAGATGAAGGAACAAGATAAAATCCCCAGAAAAACAACTAAATGAAGTGGAGATAGACAAAAGTCCAAAAAAAAAAAAAAATCAGAATAATTATAGTGAACATGATCCAGGATCTCAGAAAAAGAATGGAGGCAAAGACTGAGAAGATGCAAGAAAAGGTTACCAAAGACCTAGAAGAACTAAAGAACAAACAGAAATGAATAATACAATAACTGAAATGAAAAATTTACTAGAAGGAATCAATAGCAGGATAACTGAGACAAATGAGTAGATAAGTGACCTGGAAGAAAGAATGGTGGAAATCACACTGAAGAACAGAATAAAGAAAAAAGAATTAAAAGAAATGAAGATAGCTTAAGAGACCTCTGGGACAACATTAAATCCACCAACATTCACATTATAGGGGTCCCAGAAGAAGAAGAGACAGAGGGGACATGAGAAAATATTTGAAGTCATGATAGCTGAAAACTTCCCTAATATGGAAAAGGAAACAGTCAACCAAGGCCAGTAAGCACAGAGAATCCCACGCAGGATAAACACAAGGAGAAACATACCGAGACACATACTAATCAATTTGACAAAAACTAAAGACAAAGAAAAAATATTAAAAGTAACAAGGGAAAAATGAAAAATAATTCACAAAGAAACTCCCATAAGGCCATCAGCTAATTTCTCAGCAGAAACGATGCAAGCTGAAAGGAGTGTCATGATATATGTAAAGGTGTGAAAGGGAAGAATATATAACCAAGAAAACTCTACCCAGTGAGAATCTCATTCAGATTTGATGGAGACATAAAAAGCTTTACACAACTAAAAGCTAAGAAAATCCAGCATCATCAGACCAGTTTTTACAACAAATGCTAAAGGACTCCTCTAGGCAGAAAAGAGAATAGGAGTTCTAAGGAAAAATAATTCTATACATTCAGTTCAGCTCAGTCCACTCTGTCGTGTCTGACTCTTTGTGACTTCATGGTCTGCAGCACACCAGGCTTCCTTGTACTTCAGAACATGCTCAAGCTCCTGTCCATCTAGTTGATGATGCCATCCAACCATCTCATCCTCTGTCGTCCTCTTCTCTTCGTGTCTTCAATCTTTCCCAGGACCAGGGTCTTTTCCAATGTGTCGGCTCTTCTCATCAATTAGCCAAAGTATTGGAGCTTCAGCTTCAGCATCAGTCTTTCCAAAGAATATTCAGGACTGATTTCCTTAACATTTAACTGGTTTGATCTTTTTGCAGTCCAAGGGACTCCCAAGCATCTTCTCCAGTACCACAATTTGAAAGCATCAGTTCTCTGGTGCTCAGTCTTCTTTATGGTCCAACTCCAAAATCACTGCAGATGATCACTGCAGACATGAAATTAAAAGATGCTTGCTTTTTGGAAGAAAAGCTATGACCAACCTAGANTGGAAGTAACAAATATATTGAAGGGATTAGATTTGATATACAGAGTTCCTGAAGAACTATGGACAGAGGTTCTACACATTCAAACTATTGTATCAAAACCTCATGGGAACAGGAAACCCCGAAGCTACAATAGATATACACACACAAAAGAAAAAGCAACGCAAACACAGAAATTAAGATGTAATCAAACCACAAGAGATGAGAACAAAGGAGGAAGAGAAGAAAAAAGACCAGCAAAAACAAATCCAAAACATTAAGCAAATGGCAATAAGAATACACATCCCAATAATTACCTTAAATATAAATGTACTAAATGCGCCAACCAGAAGACATAGACTGGTTGGGTGGATTTAAAAAACAGTATCTTTATATATGCTTTCTATAAAAGACCTACCTCAGACCTAGGGACACATACAGACTGAACATGAGGGGATGGAAGAAGGTATTCCATGTAAATGGACATCAAATGAAAGCTGGAAAATCAATATTCATAGTAGAGAAAATAGACTTTAAAATAAAAACTGTTACAAGAGACAAAGAAGGACACTACATTATGATCAAGAGATCAACCTAAGAAGATTTAACAATTGTAAGTATACATGCACACAACATAGGAGCACAATACATAAGGCCAATAATAACAGCCATAAAGGGAGAAATTAACAGTAACACAATAATAGTAAGAGAAGTCAGCTCCCATTTTTCATCAATGGACAGATCATCCAAACAGAAAATCAATAAGAAAACACAGGCTTTAAATGACAAATTATACCAGATGGACCTAATTGTTATTTATAGAGCATTCCATCCAAAAGCAGCAGATTCTTTCCAAGTGCACATAGAACATTCTCCGGGATTGACCACATGCTAGACCACAAAGCAAGCCTTAAAATTTAAGAAAACTGCAATCATACCAAGCATCTTTTCTGATCACAACACTATGAGATTAGAAATAAACTATAGGAAAAAAGTAAAAAACACAAACAATTGGGGCTCAACAATATTCTACTAAACAACCAATGGATCACTGAATAAATAAAAAAATACCTAGAGACAAATGAAGGTGAAAGCACACTGATTCAAAGCCTGTGGAATGCAGCAAAAGCAGTCCTAAGAGGGAAGTTTACTGCAGTACAATCTTACCTCAGGAAACAAGAAAAGTCTCAAAGAAACAACTTAACCTACATCTAAAATAACTAGAGAAAGAAGAATAAATAAAACCTTAAGTTAGCAGAAGCAAAGAAATCATAAAGATCTGAGCAGAAATAAATGAAGCAGAGGCAAAAAATAATAATAATAACAAAAATTTATGAAACTTAAAGCTAGTTCTTTGAAAAGATAAAAAAGATTGATAAACCTTTAGCCAGACTCTTCAAGAAAAAAAGGAGAGGGCTCATATCAATAAAGTTAGAAAAGAGAAAGAAGTTACAGTTGACATCATAGAAATACAAAGGATCATAAGAGACTACTACCAGCAACTGTATGCCAATTAAATGGACACCCGGAAAGAAATGGACAAATTCTTAGAAAGATAAAGTCTCCCAAGACTGAATCAGGAAGAAATAGAAAACATGAACAGACTAATCACAACACTGAAATTGAAACTGTGGTTTAAAATTTTCCAATAAACAAAAGTTCAGAATCAGCTGGCTTCACAGTCGAATTCTATCAAACATTTAGAGAAAACTTAGTATGTATCCTTCTAAGAGGATTAACAATCATGTAGTAAGGCCAGGGGTCCCCAAGTAACAGGAGGAAATAAACTGCAAGTGGCAGACATTTTTTTCTCTTCTAATTCTGTGCTGTCATGATGACACCTGGTTCTGCCTGAACTTAACTTTTCTCAAACCTTGAGCTGACCAATGTGTTTTTCTCATTGAAATGTTTTTATTAAGTGATGTTAATGAACTATGTATTTGCTTGGAAATTTGCCTTTCTTCAAGATTCATGTCAATTGTTTTACGGCCAGGGATGACTCCCCTTGTGCCAGTGCTATCTCAAAATGCATGTTGCAGGTGAGGGGGCCTTGTGCAACTCTCTCAGTCCTGAGACATTTCTGTTATCTGGTTAGTAGCTTGCTAACAAGTATATCAGAGAAGGCAATAGAAACTCACTCCAGTATTCTTGCCTGGAAAATCCCATGGACGGAGGAGCCTGGTAGGCAGCAGTCCACAGGGTCGTGAAGAGTCAGACATGACTGAGCGACTTCACTTTCACTTTTCAGTTTCATGCATTGGAGAAGGAAATGGCAACCCACTCCAGTGTTCTTGCCTGGAGAATCCCAGGGACGGGGGAGCCTGGTGGGCTGCCGTCTGTGGGGTCGCACAGAGTCGGACACGACTGAAGTGACAGCAGCAGCAGCAGCAGCAACAGGTATATATCGCTTTGCTAAGAGCTCACAAGGGGGCACTCTTTCTGCCCTTCTGATGTCTATGTCAGAGGCTTTCTCTATCTCTTTTATACCTTAATAAAACTGCTACACAAAAGTTCCGAGTGATCAAGCCTCATCACTGCCTGTGGAAACCCTCTCCTCTGGAGGCCACGAATCCTGGTGTCATTCACAGCTCGCAGTCAGAGCCTTTCACTTCTGAAAATGTTCTAGAACAACTGCAAAGGCAGAATAATTCCCAAACTCATTCTGTGAGGCCACCATCACCCTTATACCAAAACCAGATAAAGATATCACAAAAAAGAAAATTACAGGCCAATATCACTGCAAAGAATATGCCTAGAATGTAGGAGACCTGGGTTTGATCCCTGGGTTGGGGATATCTCGTGAAGGAGGGCATGGCAACCCACTCCAGTATTCTTGCCTGGAGAATCCCCATGGACAGAGGAGCCTGGGCGACAGTCCATGGGGTTGCAAAGGGTCAGACACAACTGAGCAACTAAGTACACACACACATCACTGATGAACATAGATGCAAAAATCCTTAGCAAATATTAGCAATCTGAATCCACAGTCCATTAAAAGGATCATGCACCATGATCAAGTAGAATTTATCCCAGAGATACAAGGATTTTTCAATATCAGCAAATCAATCAGTATGATATACCACATCAACAAATTGAAGAATAAAAACCATATGATCATCTCAATAGATGTGGGGAAAGTTTTTGA